CTATAGTCTCAGGCCAGGGAAGTCTTAGCTTACATTAATAGGACTATGGTTGAGAGAGAGAAGCCAGCCTCAGGGTGGGCTGGAGCAGGTGCTTCATCTGAGAACTTGAATGAGCTTGAGAAACTCTTTAGCTACAATTAGAAAGTGGTAAGACTTCTTATAAACTTTGGCATGTCAGGAGACACCGGTCCCTGGAGAAGGGCAGTGAAAAGAGGAAGACCCTCAAGGAGATGGATTGACGTGGTGGCTGTCCCAGTGGACTCGAGCATAGGAACAGCTGGGAGGGTGATGCAGGAGCGACCGGCAGTGCCAAGCGCTGTTGTGCAGAAGGTTGCTATGCGCTGAGACTGAATCAGTGGCACCTAACAACATCAACAACAACAAGAGGAAGTGCTTTAGGTCAAGGGCAAAGCCCAAGCAGGAGAGAAGAAGAGGAGAATGGGCTACTTACTTTGTTAGCCTGACAAACACCAAATAAAACAAAGCACCAGCAAAACAAACTAGCATAAAAACAAAACCCCTGAGTTGATTCTGACTCTTGGCAGCACCATCTGCGTCAGAGTAGCGCTGCTCATGGGGTTTCAATGGCTGTTGTGTTAGTCTGGATACTTTAGAGAAACAAATCCACAGGACCTCATGTATAAAAGAGAGTTTGTTTTTTTTATAAAGGTTAAGTGCACATTAATCAAACATCCCAACCCAGTATTGCCCAAACCCACAAGTCCAACATTAACCCATATGTCCGACATCAATCCACAAAGTCCTCCTCCATCTCACAAAACACACGTAATGATGCCGACTGCAGGAGGAAAGCCGAGTCGGTGAATGTGTAAGCATCTCAGCACTGGCAGGGGTCTCCACACGGCTGCTCCAGCACCCAGGGATGCATTGGGGTAGGTCCATGTGGCTTCTCCTCGGGGATGTCTTGCAGAAAGTGAACCTTGCCAGCTGAAGCAGGGAACTGGCTAAGGCAGGTGCACCCTGGTCCAACCATCACAAAGCAAGAGACTGGAAAACCATTTATCTCTCCGCCCTTCAATTAACCCCACATGTGTTTATTGGCCAGGTTGGCTCAATAAACTAACTACCTCAGCTGTCATTTTGGGGAAGCTTCATTGTTCCTCATTGACTGAGGAGTAACTTATGTGGCTGCTAAGGTGCTGCCAAGTCATTTCTGACTCATACCAACCCTGTGTGCAACCGAACAAAACCCTGCCCGGTCCTGTGCCAGCCTCACCACTGCTCCTCTACGTGAGCCCCTTGTTGCAGCCACTTGTCAATCCATCCGTTGAGGGTCCTCCTTGTTTTTACTGACCCTCCACTTTACCAAGCATGCACTGGCTTATTCTGATGACCTGGCCAAACTCCATGAGTTGAAGTCTTGCCCTACTTGTTTCTAAGGAGCGTTCCGATTGTACATCTTCCAAGACAGGTTGTTTGTCTTCTTGACAGCCTGTGATACTGTCAATATTCTTCACCAGCACCACACTTAAAAACGAATGGATTCTTCAGTCTTCCTTATTCACTGTCCAAATTTCATATGCATAGGAGGAGATTGGCAATATCACGACTTGGGTCATGTGCACCTTGGTCCTCAAAGTCACATCCTTGTTTTTGACACTTTCATGAGATCTTGTGCAGCAGATTTAGTCGATGGAATACACTGTTTGATCTCTTCACTGCTGCTTCCCTGATCATTGATTGTGGATCTAAGCAAGAGAAAATCCTTGACAACTTCAATCTTTTCTCCGTTTATCACGATGTCACCTATTGGTCCAGTAGGGAGGAGTCCGGTTTTCTTGATTCTGAGTTATAATCCATACTGAAGAGTACAATCTTTGATGTCCATCAGCAAGCGCTTCAAGTCCTCCTCACTTTTGCCTAGCAAGGCTTTGTCATCCGTGCATAATAGAGTGTTAATAAGCCTTCCTCCAGCCCTGATGTTCGGTTCCTCTTCATGTAGTCTTCTTCTCATATTACTTTCTCAGTATGCAGATTGAATAAGTATGGCAAGAGGACGAAATCCGTACCCAAACCTTTCTTGATTTTAAAGCATGCAATATTCTCTTGTTCTATTCCCACAACTGCCTCTTGATTCATGTACAGGTTCCAAATGAGCACAATGAGGTGTTCTGGAATTCCCATTCTTCTAAGGTTATCCATAGTTTGGTATGGTTCAAACAGTCAAAGGCCTTTGCATAGTCAGTAAAACACATGTAAGCATCTTTCTGGTATTCTCTGCTTTCAGCCAAGATCCATCTGACATCAGCAATCATATCCCTTGTTCCACATCCTCTTCTGAATCTGGCCTGAAGTTCTGGCAGCTCCCTGCCAATGTATTGCTGCAACTGTTGTTGAATGAATATCAGCAAAATTTTGCTTGCATGTGCTATCGATGATATTGTTCTATAATTTGTGCATTCCTTTGGGTCACCTTTCTTTGGTGTGTATGCAAATATGGATCTTTTCCAGTCCCTTGGCCAGGTAGCTGTCTTCTAAATTTCTGGCATAGACAAATAAGTGCTCCCTGTTCTTCATCAGCTTGTGGAAACATTTCAGTTGGTGTGTTAGTTCAGGTAGACTAGAGAAACAAATTCATAGACACACATATGTGT